TAATCAATGGATGCTTGGATCATAAGTTATGCCTTTGGAAAGTAGGTCACTTGTTCATGCATTTTTATACTTAAAATTTCCAAATTCTTCAATTTTGCATCTTTGAATGATTCCTTGATTATAAATTGATCAAATGAAACCGTCCATCATATTTCCTTGAATAATGACTTGTGAAGCTCAAAGTTGACCAAAAGTCAAACTTTGATTTTGTGCACCAGTTGACTTTGTATCAGATGAACTTGAATTTGCAATCTTCAAAGGATCAAATTTCTTGGGAAAATTAGATCTTGAAAATGGACTTTAAAGATGTATTTGATACCCTTGAATCATATCTTGAAGTAGGAGATCATCCTCAGATAAAAAAGTCAATTGTAAGCCATCTTAGGTCAAAACCCTAATTTGGTGTATCAGATGAACTTGAGGCTTGATGAACTTGAAATAATGTAATCTTGCAACTGATTATGAATAAATGGAAGTTCTTAAGCATATGGAATGAATTAGGAGCTTGGGACATTGAGGATCACACAAATCTTTGGTTAATCATCATCCTGATCACCTTGATGCAAACCCTAACTTGTAAAGCAAGTAAAACACATATTTTCTTGATATTTTTAATAAGGGTTAGTTATGCATATAACACACACACATATAAAATGTTTGATGTTATGTAAATTATGCAAACGGACGTATGATCTTAGGGTCAAAAATTAGGGTGTGACACTTCCGTTAACATATTTCATCCATTCTGTTACTTTAGGTGTTAAACCGTTAATAAATCCCAGGGTGGCGTGCCAACTGTGTGCCTTGTCATCAAATGAATAAATAAATCATTTTTTAAAGGGTTAAATATTGTCAAAGACCTTCATAATTTCCAAAAAAAAGCTTGTGCATATAAGGAACAACTAGGTAAAAGATCTTCATAATCTCTTCATTCTTGTTGTCTGACACTACTGAAAGGAATAATTGGGTTTAAAACTTTGTTTTTGTGTTTGGTTCCTTCATCTTATTCTTTTTCATATTGTCTCCATTCCTAGGGTTTTATTATTCTTCTCCGATGTCTAAGTTGTCAAGCAGTGCTTCCATTAGAACATCTGGATCGGTTATTTGCAGAAACAAGAGAAGGGAGCATTTTTGCCAAGATGAATGTGCTTCGTACCGTGGGTGACATGAGTAGTGTCAATTTTGGTAAAAAGTTTAGGGGTTGCATAAATTTCAGAAATCATGTGAATAAGGGATGTAATTTTTTCAAATGGTTCGACGACGACATTATTGATGAAATGGATTTGAAGATCCAGAGGCAAAAGAAGAAAATTTACAAATGAAGAATGAGATCATCAACACTAGGGGATGATTGAAAGTGTCTGTAATCATTAGAATATTGATCTTAGTATGTAATGTTGTATTTGTAACAATTATTTTAGGTTGGTCATTTGTTTGTGTAATGAGATGTATTTGTGAATAAGGAGGTTGAAATGTATCTGTCATGAAATGTGTCTATCAACATTGTTATGTATGTGTCAAAATTTATCAATAAAATGTATTTGCTGAAATGTTACTTTTGTTTGTTTCCCACAATATACAAGAACAAATGCACACCATAAATTGGTCATAAAAATAGTCATAAAACCATAACAGATTTACATTAGTAACATTAGTTGCAATAGTAACATTACAAGTCATAACAAAAGTGGCATTGCAAGCCATTATACATAACTAGAGAATATGCATTTTATGCCATATGTTACAGCAGTAAAAATCCAACAAAAGTGGCATTATAAGCCTTAGTCATAAACTATAAAATAGGCCAAAAGTGGCATAACTAGTACACATCAAAGATAAACATAATCTTAGGGTTGGCTTAGAACTGATTTTAGACCCTTTTGAAGTCTCTTTCTCTTTTTGGATGCTTGTTAAGTTGAACTTATATCTGGTGTTAGTTGACTTGATGTAGCAGCAACTGGTGTTGGTTAGCTTGATGTAGTAGCAACTGGTGGTGGTTATGTAGCTGTAGCAGTTGGTGGTTGGCTTGATGTAGCAGCAACAGTTGGTGGTTGGCTTGATGTAGCACCAACAATTGTAGGCAGCTTGCAAGTGGCCTTGTTGTGACCATCTTTATTGCACCTACTGCACTTGATACCAAATTTTCCTCTTTTGAGTTGTGTCTCATTTCTAACTTGTTCCCCAGCCTCTTTATTCCTTTTCTTCTTGGGTCTACCAGGTTTCCTTTTATGGGGGGTGGTTGCAGATCAACAACATCTGTTTTGGTCCAAAGAGATTCTCCATTGACTAGATAAACCACTGGTACATAGCAAGCCTTTTAACACTTCTTTTTGTAATAATAAGGAACAAAATCATCTACTTGTAAATGTTGGCCTTCATACATGAAAGAGCATGGCAACATGGTAGCCTAGTCAACATCCACCTTTTACATGAACATTCATGCTTTGATAGATTAACAACAAAGTTTTCTTCTATGAGTGATATATGCTAACCTCGTAGTCTACTTCATATGCACGCCTGCTACAAATACATAAATCAATTATGGATGCATCCACCTTCTTTGTATTACCTAGAAATCAAGTATGACACATTACCTAACAATCCAACTGTTAGTTTTTTGTGATTCTTTTTCCAACTTCTTTTTGATATTTGTCATAACGGTATCAACATATTTGGCAATCTTTTATCTGTTAGACTCTCACCTTTGCATTAGGTACACTTTAATCTCTTCAAGCATAGCCACAATGAGCTTGGCTCTTGCAGCTACAAATATAGAGGTAAAGGCTTTTGACATGTTGTTCACCAAAGTGTCACACCTTGGACCATTTTTAAACCTATATTTGCTCCAGAACCTTGGTGGGATCTTCCAAAGGTGCTTGAATGCTTCTTAATCAACTGCAGCTGAATCTTCTAAACCCGTGGGCCCTCCTTTATCAAACCTGTCACCTAGATTATTCAATTCTTCAATGGTCCCCAAGTTATCAAAAGTTCCTTTTACACCATTATTCAATTCATCCAACATGTCATCTTCCAAATTGTCGTCTTCTACACCATTAGAACCTATTGTTTTCACCATTGGGACCTACATTGTTTCTAAGAGGCAATATTTGCTCTTCCCCATACACCAAATGCATTACATATAGATGAACATTTTCATTGATCAGTGCAATCGTCTTCATTGTATTTGTTCATGCATTATCTTGTAACATCACTAGCTCATTATCATCCATTACATCATAATACCACAAGCTCTCAACTTTTGGGTACCTTAAATCTTTCAACCCACCTAGGATCTTAAAATAACTCCAAAAATCCAGGTCAACTTGCCAAATCTCTTATAAACCCTTGTAACCTAATTTGTTAAACTCACCAAACACACTCAAACCTATCATCATGACCTAATCACACAAAATAACTCAGAAATCAGACTTCGAAGTAGACCGAATTGTTAAACGTTTTCTTTTTAAAATAGTAAGTTCACACACGTACAAGGCCTTGAAATGAGACAATGGTTGGGTTGCTAGGTATCATCTTCTGCTATCGTCTTCTCCAACAATCGCCGTCTTCAACCACCAAGCTCTTCTTCTTCGCAGCTGCTAGGGTGTTTTTTTGCCAATGAGAGTGAAACTATAAAATTCAGAGAGAAGTTTAAGAGTTTAGGATTTTTATTACTAAAAATGAAAACAAAAGTCACTATGACACATCAGTATAATAGTAACTAAAAAAAAACACAATGCCACATCAGTATCTCACTATGTTACATAGGTGTCTGTTAATATTTTTTCAAAAAAATTAAAAAAAAATTGATTGAATTAACATAATAGATTTAAAGGACTATATTGTAATGTTTTTTAATTGTGAAATTAATTAGAAACAATAAATTAATTTAAGAGATTAAAATATAAATTAAACCAAAATAAAACTAACCTTGTGATATACTGTATTTAATTTCCCAATCTACAGAAATCAAGTTGGCTTAGATCAGCAAGTAATCCCAATTCATGTTTCCTACGTGAGCAGTGACATCTTTAGACAACATGGCACTAAATGTAACACATCACCATGATGAATAACTCTGACAAATATAAAGTTAATTAACTCCAACTATGAGACAAATTTGTTTCCATCTCAACTAAAGTAGTAACATAATTTAGATTAATTGGTAGGTATAGGGTAAACAAATTCGAACATCTTAATTAAAATCAATTGATTAATTTTTTTTATTTTATATAAATGAATCAAATTGGTGTCCGGTTGATTCTTTGGCTTAATTCAAATAGTATAATATTGATTTGTTCGAATTTAAATGATTATTTTAGAGCTATTGAAAACCAAACTCAATTAATATTTATTTTTATTATTATAATTATAATTTTTTTTATAATGTTGTCCTCTTATTATCATTATTTTAATTTAATAATTGCATTATGTATTATTTTAAATATTATTTTAATTTAATAATTGCATTATGTATTATTTAAAATATTATTTAATTTATCATTTAAATTATAATGGTTAAATTAATATCAAATAATATTATAAAAATTATCACGTAATAATAATTTTTTAAAAAGTAAAAAGTAGTTTTTTATTGAATTATAAAGGTTATTACATAATAAAAGTTTTATAGAGTGAATGTTCTTAAATCTTATAAAAAATGACATTTTTATGATTTTAGCAAAATAAATATTAAATTGATCAAAGTCTATCTTGTTTACTCGTCAAATTCATTGAATCAAATTTGTTAAAAATTGAAATTTTATCGATCAAACTTTTAGAATGAAACTGTGATTTATATCAAATTTAAGTTTTGATTCTGATATTGACCAAAACGATTCTATTTTCCGACCTATAGAATTTTATGACGTAAAATTGCATCCAATTCCAAAGAAAAAAAATACTCCTTAATTACAACTGTATATATTATATCTCTATAAACTCCAAAGGAGGAAGAACAGAAATAAAAAATTTAGTGGAAAAAAAGAACAAAAAATGAGTTGTTAGAGCCATAAAGCCCCAGCTTGTTTGAGAATAGGGACCAATTCACCAGAAATATGAGTGGCCATAATCCGATCCAATCCTCCAAACAATTTTCCACCTATAAACACCACTGGAAATTGAACCTTCCCATCATCAATTGCAATTGATTCCAATTCTTTAACAACTTCAACTACATCTTTCTCTTCAACCTCATGTACAGCCGGATTAACGCCGAGGCCGAGAAGCAACCGCTTCACGACGTGGCTCATACAACATCCGCGCCTAGCGAAGACTATAATCGCGTTCTCTGATACCATGTTATGAATGATTGTTTTCTGGTCTTCATTTATATTAAAGGTGGAAAAGATATGAGATGAATGATTGTTTGAATTGTGGATTTTATTTGTTAATGTGTTTGGTTTGGTAACATTGAAGTGAGTGGTGGAAGTTGTGTGTGTATATGACCTATAAGGAATTGCTTGTTGCATGATGCTTTGTTTTGAGAAATATGAGAGAAGAAGAAATGTGTCTTTTTTTTTCTCTGTGATGGTTGGATTGCGGTAATGGTTTATGAAAAGGGGGTGTATATATATATATAAACGGGGGATGGAAAATAAGCGAAAATATTTATAAATTATCTAAAAAAATTAAATATTTATAAATTTGTATCACCAGTATCTTACTCATTGGGTCAGAGGTTAGTTTTAACATAATGTGATTTCAGTCTCTTTCTGATCACAGTTAGAAGAGATTGAATCGTAATTCTTACTACTAAATTCAGCATAAATTACCACTGAACTAACGAATTGATATTATTATTACTGTTTATATTTGATGTGTTGTTTGCAAGTTTTGTATATTTTTTTAATAAACATGCTTCATCATTGTTATTTTTAATAAACATATAACGTCATAGCTTGTAAGATTACGCGGTATTGTTTGGTCATGTTACGCTATTGGACGGCCATTCCACTTGCTACGTAATACGTCCCATCCCCACTTATACATATCATTACTCACAAAACTTAGTCTCTCCTATTTTTATGGAATAGAAAACACAAATTTCAATTTAAATTGTTCCTCTATTTATACATATTTTTTAAAAATTCCAAAAAAAAATTAATTTCTAAATTCAAATTCAGTTATGCACACATAATAGTGCTAAAAAAAATTTTAAATTTTTTTATTGTCGTACAATTTTAAGAATAAGATATTTAATAACTAATTATAACAATTTATCATTAAAAAAAATAAATAAATCAAATGAATTTCTTAAAAAGGGAAATGCACATGGAATTAAGAGAAAAAAGATGCAAACAAAAGTGTGGCACACGTTGACAAAAAAGAGTGACGACTATTAGTATTACCCAAAGAAAGGATAGGAGCGACAACTTTTAAAAAAAAATAAAGAAAAAATGGATAGGGACGACGTAAGACTCATAAGCCACGTTGCATGACATATGAATGAGGGCCCAACTACGTCAGAAAGATTGAGCTGTATCTACCATTGCGTCACCATGTTGTTATCCAACAATTATAAATTATTATTCATTTAAATTGTACATCAATGAGTTGATACAGCTTGCCAAAGAGTTAATCAAATAGTTGCTTACCTTAAACATGTGCTTCCATGACCCACAAAGAAGACACAATGAGATGCCACGAATAGAAAATTATTGGAGTAAGTTTTCGATATGAAAAATGAGTGAAAATATAAGGTTAACATTGTTAAAAGGTTAAATTGGTTATTGAGTAAAAAATATTATGGAATGAGAATGAATTGAATATCTGAAATAATGTGATCAGGTCAATATATGTGAGTAATTAAAATTATTAGCGTGTGATTTGGCTTTTTGTTCAGATGATCATCCGATTAGGTATTAATTGTAAAACCTTAAACTCCCAAATTTAATTTATAAAATAATGCATTAAATATGAAGATTTTAACTTGGGTGTTACATTAACAACTTTCATTTTATCAACAAAAGACAGAAATTCAAAAATATAACATTATCAACTTAATTTTCAAATAACTTAAATAATAAGACATAGCAATGTAGCTTATTCAACACAACTTAAAAGTGAGGCAAAATTCAATTCGATGTTACAATATCAGAGCGACACCGAATACAAAACTAAACAACCGACAAAGGTACAACGAATATAAACAAAACAAACTAGCAAAGAGGCCAGCTACGCCATCCTCGATAACCGATAGCTAATCACTCCTCATTCTCAATATGAGAATCACCTGTATCAAATGTAACAATAGGGACCATAGAAAAAAGAAAGGGGTGAGAATACATTCATATATGATAACGATACATAAAACAACAAGGATAGTTCACATATCAAACATATTCTGTCAACACAATATACAACCTATAAATCATTATGCATCGTATATTTCCTCTACTCCATGCATGTGGTGCCATCCTACAACCGTGGAACGAAGTCCTACAACGCTGGATATCAGAGTTATGTTATTGAGGGATCCTCAATATTTTCTACAACACTGGACCGAAATCATACACTGTTAGATATCAAAGTTATGTTACTGAGGGATCCTCAACATTGGACCGAAGTCCTACAACACTAGACCAAAGTCCTAAGCTATTCTCCGATATACACGATGCATGTTGCTACAAACAAATGCAAACAATCGCCATCCGAACCTCCTACTCCCATTATCAATTATCAATCACAACACTGGACAAAAGTCTTTCAACATTGGACCGAAGTCCTACAACATTGGATCAGAGCCCTACAAGATTGGTTCCTCTCTGAACCTAAAACTCAACATAGCTCAACATTTTTCATCATAACTTAACATAATAATCAAAATATATTATTTTCTCATCAATACTCATAAACAACGTCAAAACGGTATTGAAAAATCATGTTTTCCTACTAATCACACATCAAATTTGAATAATAATTTAAAATAACAAACTGAGTCGAAATCAAGCAAATGAATATGTTTCAAAAATGTTAGAGAATCTATTTTAAGAATATGATTTTTATTTCAGAATTTAATACACCAATTGGTTCAGTTTAATCAAACCACAAAAATAGTTACTCGCATCGGACATAATGTTTCTCCTGATTTTAAAATGGCGCCAAAAATTATATACTTATGAGAAAATTATGAAATTTTCCAATTGAAAATATCATCAAACCCTCTTTCCGACGCACTTAACCATATCTTAAAAGGTGTTACAAAACTCTGGTTCTATTAAATTCAGTTTAGCCCTATCGCAAATATTTATTGCATATAAACTCTAAAACATAATGTCTGATTTTAAAATAGCACAAAAAATTATATACTCATGATAAAATTATGACATTTTCCCGTTTGAAAGATTATTAAATTATCTTTCTAAAGCAACTGACGATATTCCAAAAGTACTTACAAAACTCAAGTTATGCCATAAATAAGACGATCAACCCCCTTCTATGGCTACCTGCAATTTTCTGCATTTTCTCCCCATTAAATAGATTTGAAACTCATATGTTTCGCCTATTTGAGTTATCACTGTCCTAAAAACACACGGATAAACATTTGTTTGTGCCATGTTTGAATATCAACTCATCACTACTCATTCATACCTAATCACAAGGCGAGTGATAACTCAATTAAGCTAATTCGCCTAACTCTAAAAATACATCAGAGTCATCAAAACTCAACTCTAAGGTTATATACCTTTAACTCCAACTCTAAATCTGTCAAATGACTTTAAACAAATAAAAACTTGACTCTAAACTTAACTCATTAACAACTTTAGAGTCAATTCAAAACATGTTAACAACTCTAAACATGTTAATTAACTGAAGGTTCACATTTGACAACTCTACTAAGGCATTTTCCTACAAATGAAAAGGGTTCTCATAACCCTCGCCTTAACTCTAAAATTACCTCATTGTAGGTGACAAGGGTTTTCTCCAAAACTCTTTCTTTAACTCTAATATAACGACTCAACTTAACGACTCCACAAACTTCTTACCCATAATTCACACAATAATAAGCACGCATCAATTGCACGCAATTGGACATTTTTTTCACCAATTATCACCAAATGAACATTAGGTTCATCAAGACAAGACTTATAATCATGAACATAAAAAATCAGCATTATACATATAAATGAATACTAAAATCAACGATCAACTAAACACAAAATTAATATTATATCACCACGATCTATAAAGGCTTGCACAACCATCTCAAGATCAGAAATCTTCATGGAAGAAAAAAAAGGAAAACAAAAAGAGGATAAAGAATCCTCTATACCCTTCTTACTTAAACACCCATAGTATGAACACTTCTTCCCATACCTCAAACTCGTTAAAAGGTTAAAACTATGGTAACTTATTTCCTCTTTTAAGATTGTCTATTTTTCTCCTTAGCCTTTTCTCATAAAAACACCTACTCGCAACTCTCTCGGTCTTTTTTTTTTAAATAAAATTTAATTCATTTTTATTTCAATTAACTCTACAAACTCCCTCAACTCTCACTAATTAAAAATCTATTTTAATGTTCAAAACTCATTTTTTATATTTTTCTATTATTTAAATTATTAAAAATATAATAAAATCCTAATTTAATATCAAACTATTTTTTCTCACTTCTACACTAATTTAAATAATTTTACTTACACTCATATAATAAATAAAATAAATAAATTAAAACACTCTTAAAACGTAATTAAAAATAAATCTTAATTAATTATTGATGAAATTAAATAATTAAAGTATGAGTTAATACTAGCACGTAATGAATAAATTTCAGCCGTGATGATGACATCATTGTATCGTAGGATGAGTAAGTAAATGGGACCTGTCTTAAACAGCGGCCGGCATGCGTATTACATTTGGGAAGCTTCGTCTTTCAACACTTACAATGGAATCAAAATAAAATCAAACCCACTACACTTTTTTTTTTCTTTTCGGAAAATTCTAATATGTATGTTAAAAGTTATAGGCTAGGCTTAAATATATTTTAATTATCTAATTTATCAAAATAAAGGACTAATTAACATCTTTTAAAATTTAATTTGTTGTCCCTCTATATATTGAGATTTTTTAGTCCCCTTCAATGTTACATATGTGATAGTGTCGTGTCGATATTTACATGGATTCAAGCAACCAAAGTTTTTTTTTTGAATGCCTAGTAGTATACCCGTGCGTTCCCACAGATAAATTTATTTTATATCTTATAAAATATAATTAAATATTTTTATAAATTTGAAATGATTTATTTAATTATAAATGAATAATTTGTATATACTCAATTAAATTAAATAACAATAAAAGGAAACTTATGAGATTGAAAAAGAAAAAAATAGACATTTGAAAATAAAGATTGTCTTTTAAATAAAAATAATTATTATTAAAATAAAATAAGTATCATATCAATAGTGACCGGTAAAAAAAAAATTAACTATCAAATATAATCTAATTTAATAAAATAAATTATTAGTTTTATTTGTGACATTTGTTAATTACTTATTTATCCAATTAGTAGTTGGGACAATCTTTGGCGAGACCTTATTGAACTCAAGGTTACCAAATGTTTGCTGTTGTGCCATTGCTAACCTTAATTGTGGTAGCAATGCTTTAGTTATTTGAGTTTCATTGCCAATGTTTTCCTTCCAGATCAAGTAAATGTAGAGGCTGGCAAAGCCTTACACATTGGAGATGATGTAAAAGCAGATAAACTGGGGGCCAATGCAGTAGAGATAGATTGCTGGTGAGAGTTTTTTCTTATATGAAATGATAATTACTGTTTTTTTACATCTTATTTACTGTTCTAAATTGATATGTGAAAACAGGTTATTGGGTATTGTAACGCCCCAAATTCTGAATTTTCTATTTTTGTTGAGTCCTTTTTTTTTAAAAATCCATTTGGATAATTAGTATTTTAATTGTGAAATTTATGTGTTGATATGTTTAATTTCAATATTGTGCTATTTTACCGATTCGGAGAGTTTTCGGGGAAAATAGAGTAAAGGGTATTTTAGACATTTAGTATTAAGTGTTACGTGGATTATTGCGTGAGAATTAATTGATAAGTGCTTGGAAAGAAATGGAGAGGAAAGAAAATAGAACATAAGATAAGAGAGAAAAAGGAATAGATAGAAACATTAGTGGAAAAACAAGGGAAAGAAAGAAGAGAGAAGAGAAAGAGGAAAAAGAAGAGGAAAACCTAGGATTTCATCAAGGATCAACATCCAAGCTTTCGATCAATCGGGTAAGGGTGTGAAACTCTATTATACTGTTAATGTGTATGATTATGTATGCTGTTGATCGTTTGATGTTGGATTGAGAAGAGTTTCTACTCATTTCCATCTTAGGGCAACATTAGGATTTAATCGGTAGAACGTGGTTTTAACCGGTTAGAATCGAGAATGAATGGAGTAGGATAGTCGGGTGTTATTGGGTTGAACTTACTGGGGTTGTTTGGTTTTAGAATCGGTCGGTTTGTGAGGTTTGAGATTTGGACAGCCATGGAAGTTCTAAGTTCGCAGGCTCGCCAGGCGAACGGCAGCGAAGCTTCGCCGGGCGAAGCCCAGCGAACGGCAGCGAACTAAGTCAGAAGCATCCACCCTGTCTTTGTTGGCAAGTTCGCCAGGCGAATGAGTGTGGCGAAGGTTCGCCAGGCGAGTGCTAGCGAGTAATTCCAGAATAAATCCCAGTGGTCTTCGCTGGCAAGTTCGCCCGACGAACTAGGTAGCGAAGGTTCGCCAGAGGCTTCGCCAGGCGAAGGTTGGCGAATGTAACAACATTTTCCTATTTTCTGTGTTTTCCCTTTTCATGCGGATTTCTTTGTTCAGTTATGTGTAATCCTTATCGAATTGAATAGTTTTGTGTGTCGTGTGGTATGATATGTATGGGTAGCCACAAGGCGTGAATCCTAGAATGTGGAACTTTGATTGTGAAAAATATCTGTCTTATATGGAATGGTATGTGTTGAAATGAAGAGTATGTGTGTTTTATGGAGTATAAGTATATTGTGAATATGCATAGTGATATATTTGCGAATATGTATGCATGTAGAGTAATGTTGTGAGTCATTTTGCATAAAGGCATCATGATGTACATCCTAGCGATGTTGATTCCTTGGAGAATCTGCTGAACATTTGATTCCTCGGAGAATATGCAGATTATTTGATTCCTTGGAGAATCTGTTGAATATTCGATTCCTTGGAGAATCTGATGAATATTTGATTCCTTGGAGAATCTGCTGAATACTTGATTCCTTGGAGAATCTGCTGAATTGAGTCGGTACCGCATTTGCATCTGCATAGAGTCGTGAGTCGGTCTCTATGAGTTGCATTGGTCATCTTTATATGATGCATGGAGTGAATTGAACATAATTCTAGATGTTTATGTGGAAATGATAAGTGTGTATAGATGTATGATTTGATGATTGTGCTTGATTGTGTGAATATGCATTGCGAGGTATATGATGAATTGTGGTGAGAATCTGAATAGTATTAATCTCATGTATGTATATAGATATATATAAATATATGTATTGACTGTTATGATATTGTTTCTCACCCTTCTGCTGTTTCCTAATGCTCTATGAGGCATTGCAGAGTAGGATTGCTGGATGTCCTTTTTGTGAAGCAGGTCTTCATTATTTGTGGTCGATGGCTCTGATATGTAACATCTGGGTAGTTAGGAAGCCTTTGGTTCTTTTTGAAGATACTTTGCTTTGCTTTTCTTTTGTGATACATCTGCGTATGTATCTGTTAATGGATGTTGTACATATGAATTAACTGAATGATGTATATATGTGTATATGAATGCATTGATTCAATGTTTAGAAGTTTCTGCTTTATTCAAAATATTGAGGTGTGAGTTTTAGAACTATGTTCTTCAGTTGTGAATTGCCCATTGTTGCATATCCATTTGAGCAGGTGTTGTAGATGTTTGACTTCATGATAATGTGACACACCTCTTTTATATCATGTATTAATTAAACTCTGATGAAACTTTTACCTAGTGCTTAAATGATTTGATTTTTTTTAATTATTATTAAGGGTATAGAAAGGGGGTGTTACAGGTATTGATGTGAAGACATTTTCTGAGATACAAACCCGCATCCTCAATCCAGAGGCCTAATTTTACTTATGACTGCCAATAGACAAAACAGTGTCAGATTTTTTGTGCGCTGATAATTGTAATGTTGAGCTGACAACTGAAAGCAATAACCAGGAGTCTATGTTAGTTTCACTATTTCACCATCACACTTTGTAAACATTTTTGACAAATTTTGTTATCCATGCCTAAGACACACATCGGATAATATATATGCAAAAAAAATTTATAATTATTTATTTTTGTTAATATTTATGAAAGTTTATGATACTTTTTTCCATTTAGATTTATGCTATAGTTTGAGAATAACTAATATTAATTCAATATCAACAATTCTAGTTGGATTGGACAATTCTTTTTGGGGGCATCATTGAGTTATTGAAAACAGTCTAACAATACAGAAATGTAAGATCAAAGTAGGTAATCTCCAAAACTAAAACACCACCAACGATCACATAATCAACAAAAAGCAGGGCAAGAGTACATTATCAAGAATTATATGGAAGCACACCACTGTATGGATAGAATCAGACTCCGAATCATATTTAGAATCAGCCAATACAAAAATAAGACATTACTTAAAATTAAATTAAATAAAAATAAAACTAATCCGTCATTGGTATAAGGTGTTCCAACATGCACTCCAGCTCCTTCAGATGTCCCTCTAAAACATCTATTTCCTTGTGTTGGTTATTCTTAGCAAGCAACTTTGTGGACACAGTAATTGCATTGTTGATCTTCTCACTTTCTTTAGGGGAGAGCTTTAGACTAACATCCTTTATTTTTAAAGTATTCTTCATTCCGTAAACTGCGAAGTCCAATTTATTCATTACTTTGGCCATTCTTAAAAAATTCTTATCTTCCACATGATATCTCTCAGCTTCTTCAATCATTTTACTAATTTCAAATGCTGACAACCTTCCTTTATCATTGGTTACAGTAATCTCGCTCATATTGCCAGTAGATATTTCTTTAGCAGAAACAGTTAAGATACCATTTTCATCAATGGCAAAGCATACCTCTAAAGGCTGACCACAAGGAGCATCACGAAGGCAAGAAAGGCCAAAGACACCAAGCAAATTGTTGTCTGAGGCTCTTGGTCTCTCACCCTCATAAACCTTAATGGACACACTGCGATTTTCTTTACTGGTATAAAATTCTCTTGTCATCTTGACGGGTACATAAGTGTTTCTTGGAATCACCACACTCATGATATCAATTTGTGCTGAGATACCAAGTGATAATGGGGTAACATCTTGCAGCATCAGATTTGGGACATTCTCAAAGCCTTTACTCAAAATAGCAGCTTGAACCGCTGCACCATAAGCAACCGCTTCATCTGGGTTGATACTGTTGGAAATAAGACCTTTTGTGTTTAAGAAAAATGTGTGGGAATATTAGGGGCTTAACGAAAAACTTGATAGGTGGAAGAATTATTTATGGAAGAGAGAACTTTGTATTTTTCTTGATGCAAAAGTGTAGAATTACATCTCTATTTATAGTACTCTAAGGAGAACTCTAGACACACTAATTCTAGAGAGTTCTCAACTCTAGGAATTCCAAGAGCATTCTAGAGAATATTACTACCCTAAGAAATATCTAGACACTCCAAACATTACAAGAGTTTTCTAGAAACATTAATTAAAATTACCTAAGTCCAAAACAACTAAGCCCAAAAATCCAAATAATATTTTAGGCCCAAATCAAGTTTAATCTTTCAACATCCCCCCTTAAACTTGATTTGTGACTCCAAGCATACTCCTTAGCTTTATGAACGTTTCCAACTTGAGTGGCTTGGTGAAAATGTCGGCAGCTTGATCTCGAGACATCACATACTTCAACCTCACATCCTTCTTCTCGGTGCATTCTCTTATAAAGTGGTAACGGGTGTCAATGTGTTTACTTCTTTCATGAAATACAGGATTCTTTGCCAAAGCAAGTGCTGATTTATTGTCAACACATATTTCCATAGGATCTTCTTGTGGCATTTTTAACTCTTTCAACAAGTTCCTTAGCCAAACTGCATGACAAACACATGATGTAGCGGCAATATATTCAGCTTCACAAGTTGACAGTGTGACGATAGGTTATTTCTTTGACATCCAAGTGAAAGCAGTATCTCCCATAAAGAATACAAAACCAGTAGTGCTCTTTCTATCGCCCACGTCTCCACTCCAATCGCTATCACTATAGCCAACAATTTCATGATTGTTAAAAGAGTAATAGTGTAAGCCAAAGTTTGTTGTACCTTTGATATATCGAAGGATTTTCTTTGCCGCCTTGAAGTGAGTTGTTGTTGGAGCTTCCATGTAACGACTTACGACTCCTACAGTATAGAGAATATCCGGCCTTGTACTTGTCAAGTAACGTAGACTTCCAACCAAACTTTTGTAAAGAGTTGGATCCACAATATCTCCATTTTCATGCTTACTCAACTTGCTGCCACATTCCATCGGGGTGCCAACCGGATTGGCGTCATCCATCTTGAACTTCTTAAGGACTTCTTTTGCATAGCCTTCTTGGGTGATAAAAATTCCTTTGTCTTCTTGCTTTACTTCAATGCCAAGATAATATGCCATGAGCCCCATATCTGTCATCTCAAATTCATTTGACATGTCTTTCTTGAACTCTTCGAACATGCTTAGATTGTTCCCAGTGAAGATCAAGTCATCAACATACAAGCACACAATCAAAATATTTCCACTTTGCGCTTTAATATAGAGCGCATGCTCATATGGACACTTGATGAAATTCTTGTCTCGAAAGTACTTGTCGATTCGAACATTCCAAGCTCTCGGAGCTTGCTTGAGTCCGTACAACGCCTTTTTCAACTTGAGGACTTTTTCTTCTTGCCCTTTTACTTCATATCCTTGTGGTTGCTCGATATAAACTTCTTCTTCGATAAAACCATTCAAGAAGGCCGACTTCACATCCATTTGATAGATCTTCCATTCATTCTGGGCTGCCAAAGAAATGATCAGTCTAATAGTTTCAAGACGAGCAACAGGGGCAAATACCTCATCATAGTCAATTCCTTGTCTTTGACTATAGCCTTTTGCCACCAGTCTTGCTTTGTATCTCTCCACGTCTCCTTTTGCATTCTTCTTCGCCTTGTACACCCATCTTACTCCGATTGCTTTGTGTCCTCGTGGAAGTGTAGTAATTTCCCACGTATCATTCTTCGTGATTGACTTTATTTCTTCATCCATGGCGTCTCTCCACTTTACATTTTCAACAGCTTCTTGATAGCTTAGAGGTTCGTAATCACCAAAAAGACAAAAGAGGTTAATGTCATTTTGGTTTTCGGTTACCTCATAAAGCTCTTCAATGCTCCTTAATCTTGGTGTCCTCTCACTTGAGCTTGTTTCATACAACCTTGGTGTCGGTGAGGTAGGTGGTGTAATATGTTCATCTATCATTGGTTGTTCCATTTCATCTTCTTCTTCTTCAAAATAAGGAAGAAAATCATACCTGTCTTCTTGAACACTCCAATCCCAACAATCTTCTTCTTCAAACTTCACGTCACGACTTATGAAAATCTTTCCGCTATTTGGATTATAGAGCTTGTACCCTTTGGAGCTTGAGTCATAACCCACGAATACATACTTCTCACTTTTATCATCGAGCTTTGTTCTCCTTTCATCTGGAACGTGGGTATATGCAATGCTTCCAAACACTTTGAGGTGAGAGATACCTGGCTTCCTTCCACTCCATGCTTCTTGTGGTGTCTTCTCATGCACACTTCTTGTTGGGGAAAGGTTTGTCAGGTAAACCGCACATGCTACTGCTTCGGCCCAAAACTCTTTCGGCATCTTCTTACTCTTAAGCATGCTTCGCACCATATTAAGTATGGTCTGGTTCTTTCTCTCCACTACTCCATTTTGTTGTGGCGATCTTGGCACTGTTAGTAAGCGGCGGATTCCATGCTCTTCACAATATTTGTTGAACTCATTTAAAGTAAACTCTCCTCCTCGGTCAGATCTCATAGCCTTAATAGAAAGACCACTTTCTTTCTCCACAAGGGCTTTGAACTTCTTAAAGTTTTCAAACACTTCTGACTTCTCCTTCAGGAAATAAACCCATGTTTTTCTAGAATAATCATCAATAAATAGAAGAAAGTATTTATTCTTACCAAAAGAGTTTGGATTGATTGGTCCACAGACATCAGTGTGTATGAGCTCTAGTGGTTTTGCCGCTCTTGATGTTGATTCCTTTGGAAAGCTTTTTCGGAATTGCTTCCCAATTAGACATCCTTCACATAGTTGGTCTGAGTGGTTTATACTAGGCAAGCCTCTCACCATCTCCTTCTTTGACAAACATTCTAGAGTACCGAAGTTGAGGTGTCCAAACCGTAGATGCTATAGCCACGAAGAGGCGGTATAGCAGGCCTTGAGACACTTAGCAACATCATTTTGAATGTTCAAGAGGAACATTCTATTCTTTGACATAGGCACCTTAGCGATCAAGTTATGCCCACAATCTCTTAAGATAAGACTATGTTCTTTCAAGTGGATGTCATATCCTTTCTCCAATAATTGTCCCAAGCTCAATATATTATTTTTCATGTTAGGAACATAGTAGACGTTGGATATGAATTGATGACTCCCATTCTTTAAGCGTATGAGAATTTTACCTTTGCCTTTGACCGGTATCTTTGAGTCATCTCCAAATGATACATTTCCAGTTGTCGCTTCATTGATCTCTATGAACATGCTTCGATCGCCGCACATGTGGTTGCTTGCGCCGGTGTCGAGGTACCACTTGTTTCTTTTTTCTTCAAATTGGTTTTGGCACGCGAGTAGCAAAGTTTCTTCTTCTCCACCTTTTTCTTCTACAAAGTTAGCTTTCTCCACAACTTTCTTTGAGAATCTACACTCAGATGCATAGTGACCGATTTTGTTGCAATTGAAGCACTTGATTTGTAACTTGTTGCACCTTGACCATGAATTTCCATTTCCACGACCTCCTGTTGCTTGTGGATTCCAACTTCTTTCTCCATTGTTGAAGTTGTTGGAGTAGTTGTTGTAACTTCCTCTTCTTTCTCCTTCATGTCCTCGTCCACGTCCATGTCCACGTCCACGGTCTTGGCCACGACCTCGTCCTCTTTGACTCTTGTAACTCACATAATTTGCTTCCTTTGCATTGAGTTGTAGTAGTTGTTCCATAGTCTCCTTTTGTTTAGTTTTTCTCTTTTGTTTTTCTTCGTATGCTTGTAAGGAACCCATAAGTTGCTCAATAGTCATGGTGTTTAAATCCTTGTTTTCTTCAATGTTAGTAACAATGAAGTCAAAACTTGGATTTAAAGTGCGAAGTATTTTTTCCATGACTTTCACCTCATCAATATCTTCACCATTTCTTTTAAGTTGATTGACTACGGACAATACTCGAGAAAAATAATCAGAAGTTGGCTCAGACTCTTCCATAAATAAACGTTCAAACTCACCTCTAAGAGTTTGAAGACGAATCTTTTTCACCTGCTCCACTCCTTTGTTGCAAGTTTGAAGCTTGTCCCATGCTTCTTTGGCCGTCGTTGCATTGGAGATCTTCTCAAATGTATCTTCATCCACCGATTGATAAATGAGGAAGAGAGCTTTCTTGTCTCTCTTTCTTGACTCCTTTAATGTCTCCTTCACACCTTGGCTTAAGGAGGCTTCTTCTTGCTCCTTAAAGCCTTTCTCAACAATATCCCACACATCTTGAGCTCCTAGTAGTGCCTTCATCTTGATACTCCAATTGTCATAGTTGTTCTTTGTGAGTATCGGTATTTGAAAAGGGAAACCTCCATTCGCCATCTTTTGAGGACCTTCAAGCTCTGATGCCACTTTGTTGGAAATAAGACCTTTTGTGTTTAAGAAAAATGTGTGGGAATATTAGGGGCTTAAAGAAAAACTTGATAGGTGGAAGAATTATTTATGGAAGAGAGAACTTTGTATTTTTCTTGATGCAAAAGTGT